TTTTATATATATTAAGATATTTTATTAGTTTAAACAATTTATACTTTATTTACATTCATTTTGCATAAAATTTTTTAATGCATAACAAATTTGTTAATTGTTTTATATATGTTGATTTTTCGCCAATTGTAACAGAAAATTTAATTGTTGTTTTATTTTAAAGCTGTTATATATATAACATAATAAAGAAAATATCCAAATAAGTTTTTATAAAATATTGCTTTTTTAACTTTATAGTTTTTAGTATGTTTGAAAAAAATGGAAAATTGAATTTTATTTAATGCCTATCACGGTCGAAACTCTTATGTTAGATGCTTTGAATAATTTGTGTGAATTTATATACTAAATATGTAATCATTTGAATTGCGCGCCGAATTGATTTTTCGAACTTCAAACGCAATTAAACTATTATAGTAATGTTATAAATTAAATGTTAATTTAATTTGTGATATTACTACAATAGTTTAATTGCGTTTGAAGTTCGAAAAATCAATTTGGCGCGCAGTTCAAATGACTATATTTAGTACTTACATAAATTTACATAGAAATTATTTAAAGCATCTAACGTAAGATTCAATCGTTATAGGCATTAAACTTTCATTTATTGTTTATTCACATATTATCGATAAAAAATTTTTTATGCATGAATATGTATAAACATACATAAATATGCCATATTCCAAACTTGTTTTTTTCTAAAATAAACAATGCGAAAATTATCCTTTTAATTTTTTATGTTTCTACATTACTGTTATTATTTCTATTACACTAAAAAGTTTTACAAAAGAAAGAAGTATATATGAACATGTATGGACATATTTCATATATAATTATACATGTTTATGAATATTTCTGCGTGTTTATGTATGTTTATACATATTTATACATATTCATGTATAAACAATTTTTTATTGGGTACGATCTTAATAAATCGTTTATTATTGAATTTCATTTAGTATGGGACATATCCAGTAAATTGTAAACATTTATAAATCATATCGAATCCGATGATCAGAGCTTCTATTTGTGAGGGCAACAATCCAGTGTTCATTAATTTAAACAGCACCGTGTGCAAAGCGGGTAGAAATATATTTAGAAACAAGTAGATTGCGATTTGAAATATTTGGTCAATTAATGCATTAACTGGTTCCGTGATTATTTCGAAACTGTCTTGGATAATTTTCTTAATCTGATTTAAATCATTTTTTCTAGTTAATAAATCACTTATAAAAGTCATGAAGTTTTTATCTGTAGATCTAACATTGTTAAGTCCCCATAAGAGTGTGTTTATCAGAGCTGGAACTGGTGATAAAATGGTTCTTTTGTATCTCGCGAGAGATCTTTCAAAAGGCATATTTGCATAGTTTTTATAATCTCCATTACCTGAAAAAATGACACATTAAAAGGATAATTATTGTATAATATAAATTAAATTCTGTATTAATTTTATCCATTCATATTTTATTTGTATAAAACTATACTATAATATTTAATTATATTGAAATAGTATTCCAAATAATTATTCTTTCTTTGAATATATAAAAATCTTTTTTCTCTGAAAATGATTTCAAATGCAACTAAAATGTTTCAAGTTTAAAATGCTTAATTAAAAATGTATTACTTTTATAAAACTTATACACACTATATTTTTATTTGTATATTTTATTTGTAAAATTTATCATTTTAATATCGAGAAGTCTGTATTACTTTTTATATAAAAATTTTATTAATTTATTAAAAAAGTGCATGTTGAGGAGTGATTTAGCAAAACGTTTTTTAAAAATATTATCTGGCCGATACATTAATCCGTAAATGACAAAATTCTGTTTGTTTTATAACTCGTTATTTAATATCATAATGCTGTAAACTATTAAAATATAATTTCATCAAAAATTAAAATATTTTTAGATAGTAACGCTAATTACAATTATATTATTAATATGTTATTATGAGACTTACTTTGTATTGCTTTAATCACGTGATCTTCTTCATCATATGTCCGGCAGGTACTGTACACTACAGCCAGACAAAGAATCAGAAGCGGTATCTTCATTTTGTAAATGATTAGCTTTACTTTATTAGAAGTATCGAAATTTATCGTTGATTTCGACTGGCGTTTTTTATCTCCTTTCTTTCCTCGTCGGAATTTTTTGCGATTAGCCACTTTTCTGACGTGTATCGCTCCTTTTTATCGTTACTTTTTGATAGAAATCTTCGACAGAATTAATTAGTTTAGTACAATCTTTTGACAACCTGACGTTCTAGTCGTCTTAATTCCGTAAGCGATAAAAGTTTCAAATAATGCTCGGAGCAGACAGTTGCGAATTAATGTTCTATTTGCTAATTGCGCTGGTTATTTGCATTCGAACAGCAACTCGATCATTTATTTTGTTCTACGTTTTATTTATTATGTTAACAACTTTTACTTATTTTGATAATAAATATACCTGCAAATTTGCACTGAACTTGTTTGCTGAAGGCAGCATTTGTAGAACTAACAATACAAACGACTTTTCACGGACAGCATTGACGCATACTGTGTTACGTATAGTCCTGGTTATCGGTACTAATTTCACATGGAAAAACGCTTTCGATATCTACAGTGACATTTACGGCCTATCTATACCTTCTTTCTATTATTGCTGCATTTTTGGCGTGATGCGATACATTTTGTTTTCCGGGTATATTTATTAAATAAAATGATAAGTTGTTTTGCGGAAACATTCGAAACTATAGATACATAACTTAAAATGCTAAACATTAATAAAATATTGTTTTCATACGTGCACAAATGAACCTTGTAGAAATAAATTGCCAATCAGTTCCGCTATTATTCAAAAAAGGATATCGGTTTTGCTTACATAAGTTGCACTTTCTAGCTAAGGAACTAAGATAATGCATGTATATACATACCATATATTGTGATTTTAATAGTAAGAATCAACGATCTTATAAACAAATAATTACAATCTAATTTGCTTGTAATTATTATTCATAAATATTTTATTAAAAAATATATGATTATTATTAATTATATAATTTTACGTGAAAAAATAGTAAAAAAAGATTTATCATTGTATTGTATCATGTAATTTATTGTATTAGCAAATACAAGACGAAATTTAAGATTAATACTTGTATTAATACTCGTATTAATATTATAAAGATATGAATAAAATAATATATTATTGTGCTTTATTAGGTTGTAAATGTCGATGTAATGGTATGTTCCTCAGACTCGTGTTATCAATCGAATCAATTTGTTTGTGCCTTATTTTATTAACTATTTCATCTAACGTTCGCGAAACGTAGGAATTGTGGAGTCCACTGGACGTAACAGATAAAAAGATTGATTAATCGATTGTTTATTTCAAATTTTTTACCATATGATTGAATAATTAGGTGAAGAAACAACGAAACAAATAAATAGTCTGTGATTTAATGATACAAGCAAGGGCGCCGCGAGGGAAGTGCACTTGCATCCTCCTGGCTCATAAAATAATTAAGTGGGAAAGAGAAAAATTTACAAGAAAAAGAAGTTGCGTAATTATATAATATAATTTTTTTAATTGAACAGAAATTCAATGCATAAATACTAATTAATGTAATAAAATTTTAGGAAATCTATTTTAGAAAAATCAATGTTGAAACAAAAATTTAGTTATTGCAGTCCAAATTTGTTCGTCGTATTGCAATGAATTCATTAATAGATGCGGTCCATTTGATGCTACAAATGCTTCGAAATTTTTGATTGACTAATCAGAAGAAAGAATTTTATTAACTGATCAATCAAAAAAAGCTTCGAAGCATTCATAGTCATCAAGTGGACCATAGCCATTGTCTGCAATTCGCGTTCGAATTTGAATTCTTATGAGTGAACTCCCTTGCAAATAGTTCTGCCAGCGCCCATGGATGCAAGCCAAATTTATTATTAGAAATTAAGCTAATCAGATAGTCAAGAAAGGAAATTTATTTAAAGCTGAAGAGTGTAAAAATAAAAAAAGGAAAGTAAAAATTCGTAGTTGTATCGGAAGAATTAAACACAATAACATTATGACTGATAGTGAGTCAAAAATTGGATGTCAGAAATAAAATAGGAAATACTATGAAATGTTAAAAGCAAATATGTGTTAGAAAAGTAATTATTCGAACGTGTATAAAGCACGATCTACATCTCTAATTGCGTAAAAATAGTTATAAGCAGAGCCGATTTTAGTCAAAGGATGCACCGCAAAGATTACACCGTATCCGGCCCCGCGCGGTAAAGTTTCTTAATAAAGCAATAAATGTTAAATAATTATTGACTTGTAAATTTTTTAATTAACAAATAATCAATAAATTACAGTATATTTTATTTACATATCTTTGATTATACTTATTACACATTTCATTACTGGTAATATAATATTGTAATGTATTTATTATTTTAATTTAAAAACGCTTTTTGTAAGGTTGGCTGACTCGCAAAAATTGCTTGCATACAATAACAAATTAAGTTAATAGCAACTTACTAAGTTTATGAGAAATTGACTTATGGATCTTACTTGCATATACACTTAATTTGATTTTTTACATTAGTTATCAATATTATTTAAATTGTTAGTCAATTTAATTGTGATATTATTACTTTGGTTTTGTTTAAATATGTTTTAAGCTCAAAAATATTTCGGCGCATGTTTGCAGAATTGAATATGTATATAAATTCATACAAAAAATCTACGCACTAATTGTAAGATTCAGCTCAATCGCATAAAGGCCTTTTTTTTTGTTTAATTACTTGTGTATACCACATATGCCTTAAAGACTACATATGTCTTAAAGAAAACTTTTATGTTTAAAATACGTTTAAATTGTTACTATTAAAAAATATGTTTTTATTTTCGTTGTAATGATTTTTCTTTAAATTCCAAGAATTATCCCCGCATTTTTTTGCACCGGCCCTACATTAGCTAGAACCGGCCCTGATTATAAGTATATACATAGTTGTAGTTGTAAGAATTGATCAATTATAGTTGAAGAATTTCCGACTGTGATTAATGACTTCTTGTAACTACGACCACTTACAACTACATTTACGCAATTGTAGATCAGGCTTAAAGATTATTCTGCAATATAAAACGCTAAAATAATCGTAAATAAACTTACTATATTTATGAACAATAAATATTTATGAACAAAAAAAAACACAGTTAATAAATGTTAAATACCACATACGCATGAAATAAATATTCTGTATTGAATTGTAAATTAAGATTTTGTTTTAATTTAATATGTAACATTTCAGAAATTAAATGCTTTTCCAACAATCATTCTATGTTAAAATTTTAACGTTCCTCCCAGTCAAAATTATGATTGTAATTTCTATATTCAGTAATTACAGAATGTTTAGATATAATTTTATGTAATTAAATATAATTCCGTATTTTGTTTCCAGTTGTCTATTTATTTATCCTACATAGAATGCACATCACAATTTTTAAATAAAATTTACATATATGTATTATATATTCTTTCAGTCAGTTATGCATGGTCACATAATTGAAGATCTTAATTAACTAAAAGCTATAAAAAATTTACAATCTTTCTTTCATTTTTTAGAAGAAACAATATTTGATTGTTAAACTCTTTAAAGTAAGCTAAACATTGATGATAATATTTACAGTAAAACTTCTTTTATCTGCATTCTATTTATGCAAGTTTATGTTCAGTTCAAATATTCGAACTCATATTAGAGCTTATTATCTAAATTATGCATAAAAGGAGTAGTTTAAAATATTAAAAGCTCGATGTTTTCGACTTCAGTTTTTTAAATATTAGTTCGGAACTATAAATAATATAAATGATATAGAGAAGAGAGTGCAATAAATACATATAACATCTCTTCCAGACAACACAGAATATTTATCATAAATATTTATACTTATTTTATATAAGCTTTACTCGAAAACATTAATAAAATATATATAAATATTTTATATACAATAAATATTTCGTAATTTTTATAATAAATATCTATGATCTGTGCAATCTAAGACCATAAAAATATTCACAAAATATTAAAAATAAATCTTAAAAATTTTTATGGATATTCTATAAATATTGTATTGCTGTCTGAGCTATTACTGCACATATTATATATCGACATATATATGCGCAAAAACAAAAAACAATTAAGTTTTATGTAACGTTCTTTTTTAATTTTTTAGATATCACTGACGCACACTGTTTAGTAAGGTACATTAAGTTTTTAATATAAATTTTTTTAATTTTAAATTTTAAGTTTTATATATTTTAAAAATTAAATTTTTTTAATTTTCGGGACTAAACTCGTACTTTGGGAATATCATGCACAAATGATATGGGCAATGACAAAAATAATTTCTTAGTTTTATATATACAGAATTCTATTTATCTGAACATGTCAAGGGATAAGACAACTCCACATTGTTCGATTATCGGAATTGTTTTATATCCCTCACTATGTTTGGATAAATGGCATTTTAATTATATACAAAGCTAATTATTTTTTGTTATTATGCATATTATATGGATCCCAATCAGAAATGATAACGGAATCGACATCAAATCGACATTGATTTGATGTCGATTTGATGTTTTCGAAGTCGTTTAATGTGTGTATATATATATACATAGTATTCTCAGAGCACATTAGTTTTAATAATTAAAAAATTTTAATTTTTAAAATATCTAAAATCAAAAATTAAAAATTTATTAAATTCATATTAAAACATTTATGTACATTACTATTACACTACTTCATAGTGCGCGCTTGAGATATGTAAAATTAATTTTACAAAAAGCGTTACACAAATTAAATGTGAATATGTATATATAATCCTAACATTGTATCAAGAAATGTTTTTATAATGCTTATATTATTATATATTCTTTTATTAAATATTCCCTGATATGTGAATGTGAATAAATATTGCTTAATCTATATTAAAAATCTTACCGATGTTGTTTGATGATTAGACTTGAGAAGAATAATGATTATTAGATTTGAGAAGAATAATATATATAAGTCATCATAACATCAACAAAATTATGTCAAAATGATTCCAATATTATCACGAAAAGTTTATCGGTCACTCTTCAATTATTTTATGGTTCATTTTAACGTTATTTTAACGTTATCGTGACTTCTTATTCTGTTTGGGGACTTAAATCGAATATACACTGTATATATAAATTGCTTTTTTATTAAAAGCTTCGTGTTAGTAGGACAAATCAATAATGCTGATAATCTCTTACATAATTCCTAGTCTCTATAATTGTATGAATAATTGTATGTCCATAACTCAATCACATTAGTCACAGTTTTCATTAGATATAAAAATTATTATAGCGTAACAGGTTGTTATTAAGATTGAATTCCATGATTATTGAATCACAATTTATCAGATTAATATCGCTTTCATATCATTTGATATATCATATAACGGAAATTTCCGTCGATCATTCATTTATATAAATCCATTTGCAAAGTTCGCAAATCATTT